GTAAAGCTTGTCGTTTTCGATATTATCATTAATAATTTTTATTAATATTTCAAATATTTTTGAATCTGAGGCTAATTCGGCTTTTCTACTCTCAATAACTGCATGGCGTTCAGCGATTGCACTATGACTACTTGATGCTCCTGGTTCAATACTGGATTCTAAAACATTGTTCTGTGAAATATTGTCCTGTGAAATATTATCTTGTGAAATGTTATCCTGTAAAGCATTATTTCATGGGTTATTATTTAAATTAATTCTTGGAATATTTACTTTTTCAAAGACAATAAATGGGTAATCGTGGTGACGCATCGTAAAATGAAACTTTGAAAAAAAGGCTGAGTTTTCTATGGAATATTTTTGCACCAAATGTTTGCACATATGGTAGGTACTGAAGAGAAAGGTAGGGCAAGAGCAAGTCCAATTATCTATATCAGTATGATAATTATCAGTTGTACTTATGTTTTTTTCCATATTAGATTTCCACTCATTCTTAAATGCATCCCACCATGACGGGAAGTCTCGATTATAACGAAATCTTCGCCAAGTATTTTTCATATCTGGAACTAGTTTCTTAGTAAGTATTTGTGTAAGACGATCTAGACGTGGCCGATTACAATTATATTTATAGTTATATTTAAGAACACGCCAATGCGATTCTGTAATCATAGTTGTTTTAGCAATTGGTATCACTTTTGGATAAGCTGCTCGTGCAAATAGATTCCAATCCTTTAAGTTATACCAATTTACCCACAAATATCCCCATAAGTTATGAAGATTTCTTTGAAAACAGAATCAGTAAATTTCAAAGACACATTGAGATCTAATTTTTTCCTTGGTAAGAAAAAGATTTTGTTCCATTGAAATAAGTGGGTGCATTAATGCATGTTTTTTAACTATTCCTAATAATTCGCTTATCAATTCTTCAGGACATATTTTACCCTGTTGCTCTACATGAAGCCAATTTGGATTAATGAAATCGAATTCAAGATATGCTTCTTGTGCTTTTTGCATTGTATACTGACTTTTTTTAATTTTTTTTTCTTTTAGCTTACGTTCAATTGCATGTTCCACATGCCAAAGACAAAGCTGAATTATTGATTTGGGCCAAGCTTTCTGAACGGCATTAATTTCCCCAAAATCTTTATCAAGAAGAACAAATGCTAGTAGAACGCCTTCATTATGCAAGCTAATAAAAAATTCTATAAGGGCACCAACACGAGAATGCACAATATTGTTAAGATTTGAAGGCCGCTCTTCTGACACTACATATGTGTCTAAGTATAAATATGCAAGAGGGATACCATATCCACCACAATTTATATTTACTGCAAAAAGTTCAAACTTTTCTTGATTTGTTTTGAATATTGAATCAATAACAATTTCACTAATATTATTATTTTTTATAATCCTAAGGAATGGGGTAACAAATCCGAGTGAACGTACGAAATCATTATCTTGATAACAAATTACTTTATACCCTGCATTTATCAACTCACTTTGTTCAAGAAAATTCATTGAGGATTTTAATTGATTTTCTACATCGGTAATATACAACTCTGTAGAAAATTTATGTATCCAGTAATATACTTGTTGGTAAGTGTGTAGTGATGGGTTAATCAAATTTT